CTCCATATGCTTATCTAATTCCCTTTTGAAGCCGTCCATGCTTGTAGCTGCCACCACTTCCTGTGGCAGTGAATTCCAAGTGTTAATCACTCTTTGGGTGAAGAAGTACTTCCTTTTATCTGTTCTAACCCGACGGCTCAGCAATTTCATGGAGTGCCCACGAGTTCTTGTATTGTGAGAAAGGGAGAAAAGTACCTCTTTCTCTACCTGCTCTTTCCCATGCATAATCTTATAAACCTCAGTCATGTCTCCCCTCAGTCATCGTTTCTCCAAGCTAAAGAGCCCTAAGCGCCTTAACCTTTTCTCATAGGGAAAGTGTTCTAACCCTTTTCTCATTCGAGTTGCCCCTTTCTGCACTTTTTCCAAAGCTATAATATCCTTTTTAAGGTGTGGTGACCAGAATTGCACACAGTATTCCAAATGAGGTCACACCATTGATTTATATAGGTGCATTATGATATTGGCTGATCAGTTTTCAATACCCTTCCTAATAATCCCCAGCATAATAATGTCCCAGCGGCACCCACAGATCTTGGCCACCGGCTCGTGATGACTGGCTCATCACCCACTGTTTGGGACACTCGACGATGGACCGACTTTCCTTGACAGCCCTTCGGAATTAAGCCCTTTTATTTCATTTCCAGGGCAGAATGAAAACTGAACCTTTTCCTTTTTTGGGGGGGGGGGCAAACCTGTATTAACAAACTGGGTCCCTGGAGAGCAACAGCCGCAAAAAAATCTCAGGGTGAATTTCACGGGAACAAAAGGGCTAAGAATTCTCCTGACAAAGTTCATCAAAAAACCAATCTTGAGAAAGGTCACGCTGAGCCACCAGTGAGGCAGTTTTTAAGTGGGAAGGACCCCCTACATCACTAAAACAACGGGGTGGGAGGGTGGGTTGGGTTTTGAAGCACAGTCTTCAATCCACTCATGTCATCATCATAGCCTTTACTGCGAATATTAATAAGCGGCAAGACCGACGATGATCGGGGCACAAAACCATTTAGAGAGAACACATTGCATTCTCCTCTTGAAGGCAGCAGCGTTCTTCATATATTTAAAGACTCGAATAAAACAAACAGAGCCTGGCTTCGTTATTAATACGGTGCGCAGGCTCACAAACTTCTCGCAGCTCATCCAGTGCGACCGGTATTCTTTTTCCTGTGGCAGTACATTGGGGTTTTTTGTGGTTTTTTTACATGTGGCGCATTTGTGCATGTCTACATTTTCACTATTTCAGTTTCTGCATTCTCTTTCATCATTACATTTCAATATTATGGCTAGCCAGAAAAAAAACGCCAGATACATTGCCGTGTTATTTTAATCAAAATCAGAATGCTGATAGCATTACAGAAAAGGGCTATGATTCAACATTGCTTCCATATTTGCTGCCCCAATACTGCCGACATGGGCCCAATTTGCATCTAGCATTTGCTCCGCTGTTTTACCGAACCCACGCTGGAACAGAAATTCCCCTCTACATCCGCATGCCACTTTCATTTTGATTGATTGTCAGATTTCCAGACTGCATGCCACTTTCACTTCCGTTGATCTCTCAGTTTTATGGCACCGTCTGCATCAATTTATGACCGTTTTATGGTGTTAGACCCGGGGTATTTGAATGTGGTTTTGAGCTGCATCTTTTTCTGTTTCACTGTGGGTCTGGTAAAACAATGGAGCAAATGCTCGATGCAGAATGGCCCACTGAGTTGGATCCAGCAGTGATTTTCTGTTGCTGGCAGGGAGGGGGAATTCTCACCCAGTGCCCCTTCCCCAGCACACCCCCAATTCACTCCTCATGCTGTTCCTTGGAGCTCCCGTCTCCCCTACGTTGCCCCTCTGCCTCCACCCTGCCATCTCTCCCAGTCTTGCAGCCAGAGAAAACAGAGGGGAAGATGTTGCAGACACAGCAGCATCACTTCCAGACACTAAGTCCATAATGCTCTAGGCCAGGGTGTCAAACATGCGGCCCGGGGGCCAGATGAGGACCCCGGAGGGCTTCTATCAGGCCCGCAGTGGAACTGGGCTGTCTTCTGCTTCTTCTTCCAGTTCTGCTGCTGCGTCATCGTAGGTTTTCAGCTTACAGATACACACTTGAACAGCAAACTCAAGACTGCAACAGCACAGATATTTTGATGCAGTAATTCAGAGCAAGAGGTGTCAGTTATCAGTCACTGTTTAAATAAACAAAATATTGCAAGGCTGCTAATGTTTTAAGTATGTTTTTATTTAAGTTAAAAAACACCCTTTGTGTCCTTTATAAAGTTTACATCTCCGCTACCTGGCATTACATTTTAAGACACACATGGCCCGGCCCAACAAGGTCTCATCTATGCCAGATCCAGCCCTCAGAACAAATGAGTTCGACACCCCTGCCCTAGGTACCCCACCTTCCTCGGGTTCCACCCCCCCAAATCCCCAGGTATTCCCCAACCCAGAGTTGGAGACTCTCAGGCTCTTTCTGCACTCTTCTTTTGATCCATGTCCACCGCGGTGTCTTCCATGCAATTCTGAATTAAAATCGAGTTCAACCTTCTTTTTATTCCGGGTTTTCCCCCCATTCTCCCTTACTTATTATCTTCCTTCAGTGGTCAGCCCAGTTTCAGCCTGCTGTTGCCTCGGGATCTGTTTTGCCCTGGACTTAAACTGCCTCAACTCGAACACTGGGCGATTCTGCATCCAGCGTTCGCTCCGCATTTTCTCAACCGGGAGGGAAAAGTTCAGCTCAAAACCGCATTCAAATACCCCGGGGCCAACGCCTACTGACTGCAAAGCCAACCTTGAATGGCCACCAAACGGCCATAGCAGAAGGTACCATAAAATCCGATGGTCAAAGGAAGCGAAAGCAGCATGCGGTGTGGAGGCTATCTTTAAAATGTGGTGATCAAAGGAAGTGAAAGCAGCACGCAATGCAGAGGGGAATTTCTGTTCCAACGTGGGTTTCCTAAAACAACAGAGGGAGAAGCCAATGCAGAATCAGCCACTGGGAAAATCCGGAGTGGCAGGCAAATGCGGGAAGGACCACACAGACTAAACCTAAGAGGCTTCTCCGCCCCCCCTTCCAGCGTCTAGCAGTCAGCTAATGCTGTCAAGGGATCTACTCATAGAATTTACCTGTCAGAGTGCCATGGGGTTCCCGCCTCACCCCAGACAGTGCAACACCCAGCCAGTTGGTAGTGGAAGGTCTACTCAGGACCCTACTACATTTCTTTTCAATGGGGCTTACTCCCAGGAAAGTGTTCTTAGGATTTTACTCTCAATCGAGGACGGCATGGCCCTCAGTTTGCAAGACCTGAGCCAGGCTCTTAATCATAGGCAGGGGCCGTTTGGGCCCGGAGCGCGCCGGAGCGCCACTCCCGGAGCCAAGGAGTGGAGACAAATGGTGGTGGCGGCAAGCCTCGCCCCCAGCTCCCCAGCTCCCCACCCCCAAACTCCTTCTCTTTAGAGTCATGCCGCAGCAGTGGTGCAATCTCTCCACTGTATTCTATGGCCCCATAGAATAGAATGGAGAGATTGTGACTCTAGAGAGAAGGGGTTTAAACTTTAAACCCCTTCTCTCTTCGCTTCCCCCCTCCAGCCTGCCTTGGCAGGCCAGCTGGGGACGGGAAGGGGAAGGCTTTTGAAGATGCCCCCCCTTTGCTTCTCCTTCTGACATCACTTCCGGAATAATCAGGGCTCTTTTTGTAGCAGGAACTCCTTTGCATATTAGGCGACACACCTTTAAATGTATCCAATCCTCCAAGAGCTTACAGAGCTCTTCTTACAGGGGCTACTGTAAACTCTTGGAGGATTGGCTACATTAGGGGTGTGTCGCCTAATATGCAAAGGAGCTTCTGCTACAAAAAGAGCCCTGCTTCTGGTGATGTCAGGGGGCGTGGCATATGCTAATGAGCTATTATGCTAAGAGCTTATTAGGTATGCTAATGAGCTCCCACAGCTCTTTTTCTACGAAATGACCCCTGGGGACATTTTGGACTTCATTAATTTACAGGGTTGCCACGAGTCACAGTGACTTGCTGGCATATCGCACGCATAATACATCACATCATGTCTGTTAAATTGTGGGTTCTGGACGCCTTTCAGTGAAACAGCTCCCCTTTATTAAGCGATTTCAGGCATACTACTGACGAAACTCCGAGGCTGCTGCCTTGTTTTGAAGCATGCAAACACTACGCACAAACACACACCCCTCCCAAGGATAGGCTATTTACATTACACTACTTCTCAACTGGTCAACTCCAGGATCCTGGTCAGTTGTTGTTCTGGGGGGACAAGCTCGACCAGTTCCAGGTACTAGTTCAGGCTCGATCCATAACAATGTCCCAGTCCCCGAAATTCAAAGCCCCCCCCCCCGATGCTTTAGCCTTGCCTCGCAGGGCAAATGCACCAAAGCTGTGATCACCCCGGTGGCCCTTTTTTGCACTTTCCGCAGCTCTTCAGTCTCCTTTTTGCAGTAAGGTGACCGTAAGGATTTCAACCACTAGATTGGCACTCAAGAGAGGCATCGGTTCAGCCCTGACCTGGATAATGGCGAATGCGGGGAGGGCGGGATATAAATGTAAATATAAATTAATCAATCAATGAAAATAACCCAGGCCAGCCCGGTCTCGTCAGATCTCGGAAGCTAATTAGAGCCGACCCTGGCAAGTACTTGGATGGGAGACCCCCAAGGAATGCCAGCAGTTGGGAGGCGGGGGCAGGCTTTACTCAGCCACCTCTCCGAATATCCTCCAGGCCCCCAGTAGGGGGCAGTCACCATAGGTCGCCATGACTTCCAGGTGCAAACACACACACTCACACACGCGCACACACACACGAAAAATAAAAAACCCTAAAAAAAAGAGAGAGTTTGAGTGATTGGTTCCACTGCGGTGCAAGCTAATCAGGGTGTGTCATTTTCTGTCATTTTCTGAAATGCATTCTGCATTTTTTTTAAAGCACGTAGAAAGATGCTTTCCAGCCATCAGATCCGTTTCCTCTTGCCCCTACCCTCCACTTACCGACTCTCAGAGCGCCACCGGCAATGAGAATGCAGGCGGCGCTGAGAACGTTGCTGGAGTTTGAAGGGAATTCGAGGGCCCCCAGGATGTAGAGACCTCGGAGAGGAGGGAGAGCCGTGTCCGCCAGGACGGTTTTGCCTGAGAAAGAGAAATGGAATAGAGTCAGCAGGGGTCATTTCCTGTGGGAGCGCACAGGAGCGGGGCTCCAGCAGTAAGAAGCCCAGGGGGGCGGGCACATGCAACAAGCCCCGCCCCCTGCTCCCAGCATCCCTCAGTCAGGCCACAAAGAGCAAGAAGCAGCCAGGTAAGTTGCAGAGCCCGCCCCTCGCCCCACCTTCAGGTACAAGCTCTCCCTCCTCTGTGAGGGCAGACCTATGCATCCCCCGCCCATAGCTAGCAATTCAAAAGAGTCCAGTGGCACCTTTAAGACCAAGGTTTACTCAGGTACAAGCTCTCCCTCCTCTGCAAGGACAGATCTGCACGTTCCCCCCCCCAATAGCTAGCAATCCAGAACAGTCCAGTGGAGCTTGAGCGGTGGGTGTTGCCTTCTGACACACTTCCGGTGATGTCAGGGGGTGTGGCATATGCAAATAAGTTATGCTAATGAGCTCCTGCACCTCATTTTCCTACGAAATGACCCCTGAAAATCAGAGTCATAACCGGCAACCGGCCAATGTAGCATCAGTCTTCTATTATTGATTTTTTTTGAAACTTCTACACGTTCCTCAGTCTGTGCCCAACACAGCTGTATATAATGTGCTCCTGAAAACTGTAAGCCGGTGTGTAACTGGTATTGGTTTGATCCCAGGCTTCCGTGAATGGAGTGAGCGCGATTTGAATCCAGTACACCTTAAAGACCAACAAGACTCCCAGGGTATGGGCTTACAAGAGTCAAAGCTGCCTTCGTCAGATGCAAGTCACTCACAATACCAAGTTCAGCATAATCACGTCCTCTAAAGAGGCTGCCAGTTGAGTCTCTGTACGAACCACTGCTTTGGTCTCACCCGCTCAGCGTGAGGAACCAGGACTAGATCAGTGACTCATGGGATGATGTAAGGGGCAGGTATGTCTCAGTCACACACTCGGCAACTAAACCTTTCCGGGTCTAAACGTGATGAACACATCGGATTATAATTCAGAGGGGGAAAGACGCGCATTACCAATCGGGAATGCGGTAAATGTTTATATTTCTACAGCAAAAGGACACACATTCTGGATCTATATATATATACAAATGGTTCTCTAGCTTTGGGGGCAAGTCTCTAGTAACGCTGACCAAGCCTTGCTGACGTGACCCTCACCAAGGCAAGAGGGGCATAGATCACGACAGTCCAATTATAGCATCTCGCGGGGAGAGCCTTGGCACTTCGGGAGGGCCAGGCTGGGAGGAACGCTGGAATGGCCAGTGGCAACAGCTTAGCTGTGCTTTTGTTTGTGCTTCCTGTCTCAGCTATGGGTCATGGGTGTGGCCGGGAGGGAGGGGTCAAAGGGCAAGAAGCAAAGGTCTCTTGGCCCCTGGCTCTTAGCCTGTGGCTTGTTTCCTGTGGCCTTGGACAGCTGGCCTGTTGGATTCTGGCCTGGCCCCAGGATGACATTAGCCCTTGGCATCTTATTTGGGATCCTTAAACTGTATTTGTTTTATTTTTATCTTCTTCGCTAACCGTTATTGGTGCTACCCCCTACTTATGTGTGTTTGTATGTGTTTATGAGCTTATACTTTTATATTATATTGTTTTATTTAACCATTATAAGTATTGTGTGTGTGTGTGTATGTATATGTAGACAGACAGACAGATAGATGACAGATAGATAGATAGATAGATAGATAGATAGATAGATAGATAGATAGGGAACCAATCTCTATAGTCTGAGGATCAACTCTCATTCCAGGAGATCTCCAGCCCCCACCTTGAGGCTGGCAACCCGAAAGGGCTGAGAGAGCTTTCTCGAGAACTGCCCCTGAGAGAACTGCTCTGAGAGAACTTACGACTGACCCAAGGTCACACCAACAGCTGCATGTGGAGGAGTGGGGAATCAAACCCAGGTCTCCCAGATTAGAGTCCATGCTCCTAACCACTACACCAAACTGGCTCTATATCATTTCTCTCTCTCACACACACACTATTTATTTATTTATTTATTTATAGATTCGACTTTTACTCCTCCCCCATATTTAGGGCTCAGGGCAGCGTACAACATTTTCAAATGACCACTCCAGATGGGGGGCCGTGGTGGCTCAGTGGTTAAGACATTTAGCTGCAGATCGGAAGGCCAGTAGCTCAGCAGTTCGGGACCCGAGTGCCACGTGATGATGTGAGCTCCCCATCTCTGGCCCCAGCTCCTGCCACCCTAGCAGTTCAAAAGCAAGAAATTGCAAGTAGATCAATAGGTATCGCTTTGGTGAGAAGGTAACAGTGTTCTGTGCACCTCAGCCTTTAGTCGTGCCAGCCACGTGACCACAGAAAACATCTTCGGACAGCGCTGGCTCTTCGGCTCGAAAACAAAGATGAGCACCGCACCCTAGAGTCGGATTCGACTGGCTTTCGAGCAAGGGAAACCTTTACCTTCATCTTTACTCGAGATGGTGCCTTAAATAAGCCTAATTTATCGTAACCCCAAAGGGAGGGAGGGAGCAAGGATAGAGAAGAAGGGGCCAGATCAAATGAGAGTCGTTGCGGTCCTCAACCATGAGCACGGTGGGACACCTCTACCTTACAGACCCCGTGGAACTGTACTGAGTCCCGCAGGACACGGATGTCGCTAGGCAGAGAGTTCAACCAGGTCGGAACTCTGGTTCTGGTTGAGGACAGCTGGATATTGGGGGGGGGGCAGGAGATGCCCTTTGGGGGGTATAGCAGGAGAGGCGGTCCCGAAGACAAGGGCTACATAAGAGGTAGATCATTACTATTATTGAACACACAATAGATATTATTTTATTTAATTATTTAAATGCATATTATTTAATAGAAAATGCATTATTAAAACATTTCTTAGCTGCCTTATGGAGCTCAAGGAGGCTTACAATATAAATAAAATACATCAAATACAGTAGAAGAGGAGGAGGAGGAGATCGGATTTATACCCTGCCCTTCACTCGGTGTCTCAGAGTGGCTTACAAACTCCTCTCCCTTCCCCTCCCCACAACAGACACCCTGTGAGGTAGGTGAGGCTGAGAGAGCTCTGACTGAAACTGCTCTTTTTTTGTTAGGCCAGCGATATGTGCTTCGGCAAAGCTTCGCCCCAGCATTTGTTTAAAAAAAGAAAGAAAGAAAAGGTCCTTAGTTTAAGGTTTTAGAGGAGTCCGGGACTTCAGGGAGGCCAGTTTGCTCTTTAAACTTTAAAGGTAAGTCCTCTCTTCAGGGCATGCTTTTCTGGACGGGGTGTTTTGTGCATGCGCGAAGATCACCATTCTGTGGATGGCTGCCTATGCGCATGTGCAAACTGAGTTTTAAAAAACCCCGCCAACGCCCACTGTGTGTGAACAGGCATACAGCGATGGGCTCCGCAGACAGGAGGTAAGTGTGATCGCGTTTCAGCCTGCATAAACTGCACCGGTTGGAACCGGTGTATGCCGGCTGAAACGCCCCGGCTGAATGCACCCAGAGAGTTCTCCAAGAGGTTTCCTCCTGCTGCCATTTCCGGTGTGTTCAGAAAGGAAGGAACTGGAAAGGCACTGGCTCTGCCTTCTGCTTCCATGCTGAGGACACGATTGGACAAGGGTGAGAGGGAAGGATCCAGTATTTCATCTTCCAAAGGTTTGCAGAGGGGTCCAACTCACGGTCTACAGAAGCATATGTGAGACAGTACAGAGCTCACACACACACACACACAAAAAAGAATTATGGACTTCCCATCGATACTAAAGCTTTTTTATTAGAGCAAGCAGATCAATATTGTGAACAGCCCCAAAGACTCTACTGTGCACTGGAGCAGCTGCATATAAATGGGTGGGGAGGATGGATAGTTCATATTTTCAATCTGCATAGGGTTGTAGGTACAGGTGGTAGCCGGAGCTCTCCTGGGATTATAACTAATCTCCAGGAGACAGGGATCCGTTCACCTGGAGAAAATGGCCGCTTTGGAAGGTGGGCTCTGCGGCATTCTACCCAGCTGAAGTACCTCCCCTTCGCTAACTCTGCCCTCCTCCGGCTTTACCCTAACCCAGAGATGGCAACCCTGGCTCTGTAACTCATGGACATGTTTAAATCTCTCTCACTGAAACCAGCTGAGCTTAAAAGGACTTCACTCTGACTGAGTTTATGTCAGGCTGTTAGGGGGGGAAGGCACACATTCACACATTAAAAGCTCTGTGAAAATTATGCATAGTATCATCCAGGGCTCTTTTTGTAGAAAAAGCCCAGCAGGAACTCATTAGCATAATAGGCCACACCCAACGACAGGAACTCATTAGTATATTGGGCCACACCCCTGACAGCACAGCTCATTAGCACATCAGACCGCACCCCCATGTTATCAGAAGTGTGGTTATCCAGCCACACCCACCTTTTGCTTCTTATTCTGTTTACCTTGTTTGTTGTCAAAACCCAGGGCCTTTTTCTGTAGCAGGGACTCCTTTGCATGTTAGGCCACACCCCAATGTAGCCAATCCTAATGAGTTCCTGCTGTTGGGTGTGGCCTGTTATGCTAATGAGTTCCTGCTGGGTGTGGCCAAGTTGGGAGCCAGCCGGAACTCCGTTCCTGTGCGTTCCTGCCCAAAAATAGCCCATCCAACAGTCAGAATCCCAAAGCAGTATGGGATTGCTAGTTGTTACTTCTACTAAAAGGCACAAATCTAATTCAATCTGTTTTTTTTAAATAAACAGACCCAAATTGGCCCTTGATCCCATCTCCCAATCAGTGAAGAAATCCAGAGAAACACTTGTTAGCGAACTGTCGCTTAACGAAACAGACTTAATTTAAGAAAGCTCAAGCCTAGAAAATATTATCCTCTCACTTTCGAGAGACTGCCGGACGGCTCCCTCTGCACACCAGCCTGTTAACTGAAATCCAGGGATAAAGAGTGTTACACAATGGATTGCTCTGTTTTGTCATTCAGAAACCACACATTATCGTCAGGTCAAGTTACTAGTCAAACAAACAGAGGAAAACAGATGGCTCCGAGGAGAAGAGAAGGATCC